AGGGTATAAGAGCTCATATGGGGTGATATCTGGCAGGTCGAATAATCAACTAGGAATTACTGGTGAGTTTGATATGAGCAAGGAGTAATAGAAAAGAGTTTAGGGTAGCTCAGGTTCCTTGATTGTGTATATAATGAGGTGTGTTTTTCATGAAATGAGATAGTGAAAATAGGAAAAGGAACAATTTTGGTTAGTGGTATGTGAGTTTGAGCTGGGATGTCATTTCTGTTTAGGACATCAACAGCTTCTAGTATTTCAGACTTTTGGATGGAGATGTCAGTACAAGCACAAGTACACATGTACGTCTTTATATTTAAGAACATACATTTGAGTCCAGATATCAGCTCTGATATAATTCATCCTATGCATGTGATTATAAGCAAGTGACTTGATTTTTTTTTAATAAAAATGAGAAGAAAGGCACCCACAGCTAAGCACTGAACCATATTCCTGGAATCCAGTTGTGGAGAGGGAGGAGGGATGAACAAAGGAGCCAAGACAGTGCTAGAGAAATCCGCAGAAACAGTTGACCTGACCTACTTAGAGCAGGGAGACCCTAGTCAAAAACCTGGGGAAATAGCTGGATTTGGAGCAGGTGTATGTAAGCACTGAATGCCATTTAGATGCCAAGCCTGACCCAACACGGTGCAGGAATGGGTTCTATGAGCAGCATTCATTCAGTTACATTCTTCTGGGGTGTGTGCAGAGTCTCTCATCAGTTTGTCAAAGGGATTTGACTCCCCAAAGAAGAAGAATTGGTAGAAAGGGTATTGACACTGTGAGGTGTCACAGAGTTACAGAGAGCATGAGTGCCCATGTTAGGGCTGCTTTCTAAGATAGTGAGGGAGAGGAAGAAAGACATGGAGTGAGGCACTATTAAGAAGAAAAGTAAATGAAACTAGGACCAAACTTTTACTCAGATTCTCAGCATTCATGATTTACTTTATAGTCAGTGTTCATAGAAGCCACGAGATGGCGAGCTTGTTCCTCACAGAGAGAGTAAGTCAGAGGAGGGGCGGCGGGGTGGTGGTGGTGGTGGTGGTGATGGTGTGGAACTGTACTTTTCTACAACTGCCTTAATTTTCCTTACCTCCTTAATTTCAACAGAAAAAGAATTGATAGATTTTTTTCTGTTAACTTTGGATCATACTGTAAAGATATATAAAAAACCAACTGTTTGGATTTCATATTCAGATCAATTGATAATTACAGTTTTCACATTACCAACAGAGAAGTCTAATTGTCAACACTATTGTCAAAAGTTTTGACACTGTTAATAGCATTTAAATAGTTAAGTATTAGGTGAAAGAGTAATTTTTGGGTCACACACATACATGCATATACACATACATAATTACTTTTTTTTTAATTTATTAGTTCAAGTTAGGGAACAAGCTTGTTTCACATGTAAGTCCCTTCTCCCTCTCCCTCCCCTCACAGGGCCAGAGTGTATCCCTTCATGTGGGATGGGCTCTCAAAGCCCCTTCTTGCACCGGGCAAAAGTACTAATCCACTACCAGAGGCTCCCTGGAGTGCAGAGGCCTCCTTATTTACATCCCTGTTCAGGGATCTGGATCAGTCTTGTACTGGCCTCCCAGACAGCATCTGGGGTCGATGTGCTCTCCCTTGTTCAGGCCAACTGTTCCTGTGGGTTTCTCCAACCTGGTACAGACCCCTTCGTTCTTCATTCCTCCCTCTCTTCAACTAAATTCCCGATTTCAGCTCAGTGTATATCTCTGGATCATAATTACTATATTTTGTTTGTTTTTGAGACAGGGTCTTTATGTAGCTTGGCTGTTTGGGAACTTGCTTATAAGCCAGGCTAGCCTCAAGCTACAGAGATTGACCTACCTTTGCCTCCCAGTTGCTGGAATTAAAAATGTGTACCCACATACCCAGATTTATTATATTACATTATTATTATCACATTCTTTTGTTCAATGAACAAGTGTTAAGATCCAACTTTAAAATTTTTTTCCATTTTTTTGTGGATGTCATACAACTTAATTTAAATATTTGGAATTTCTATTCTCATTACTTTGATTTACCTCAAAATAGCTTTTCTTATATGCTATTCTAAATATTATATGGAAGAATTTAAACTAATGTATTATTGGTGAGTTAATATATACTTATTGATTAATATTTAATGTTCAATGTGAAATTCACTCTGCTTATGCTGTGCAGTCAAGTTGATTATGTAAGATACATATTAGTATTATCATTGAGGCTCAGGGAAATTAAATGAATTGTTGATTTAATAGTTGGCAGAACCAGAATTTGAATCCGGATTCTTTTCAACTCTAAAGCTTACTCTCTTTTTCATTGTGTCTACTGTCTCCAATGTAACTATTTATGTATTTCTTTACTAGAAACACTTGGAAATGACAATTTAAAGTAATCTGTGCTTCACTCATGTTATGAGCTGAACAAAAAGAATATACATCACAAGGCAACTGCTGTGATATACTTTTATAAGCTGTTTGGTATTTCTTCTGAGCCTATGTGTCCGCAAGATCATCTAGAAGATTCCATTTAGAGTTGTGCTGATGATGAGAGGCCTTAGTTACTCTCATCTGAGGATTTGGACTTCTGGCTAGAGGAACATATTGATTTTCCTAAGGTTGAGCTCATTGAAACCTCATCCTCCTTGTGACTCCTGTTGAGTCCACAGGTGTTTTAGCAAGCGCAGTGTTTCTTCTGTGTGCCAGCAGCTTTGCTCTGCTCCAGGATGCTATTCCATGCTGGGAATGACATTGCAGCAAAAACTGCAGTCTGCTCTAGTGTAACACTTTGCAGGATGTTGTTCCATTCTGGGAATGACATTTCAGGAAACACTGAAACTCTAGTGTACCACTTACAGATGCACACGAGCTGCACTGAAATCCATTCACTCATGCTTGGAGGAACTTACCAGATTGCTGCTGACTTGTACTTTGTTTCTTGAATTACTATTATCTCTTCATAGTCTCCCCCCGCTCTATAGCTTTTTTATGCTCTAAAGGGTAATAGTTTAGAAATTATAAGCTTTGTTTTTGAAATTAAGAGAAAACATATTTTTTTTTTTTACCTGAACTAGGACATTCAAGCTTTTTAAATTGTATTTTTTCATGCAATAGTTGTAACTGGAAAGAAGATTGTGTATAAATAAGTGATGATTGAAATTAGATGATAGGCTTATTCCAAGTTTGCTCCATTTTTGTTAGAAAATTTGCATAGTGAAATGCAAAGAAACATATGGCACATTTTATGTCATCAGTGATGAGGGATATCAACCAAGCCTCTTGGTACACACTTGTAGTCCCAGCACTTAGGAGAGTGTTGAGGCAGGAAAACTGAGATTTCATGGCTTCTGGGAGACAATCTTTAACTATTTTAATATCTTAATATTATCTCATGTTTCATGTGAAGATTTTTTATACACTTTCATTTCCAGCAGAGACCATTTATGGTAGCAAATATGTCTGCATAGATTAACTGATGGTTATATCATGTAAACACTCACTTCTTTTGCTTCTTCATATAGATCTTGAAAAACTAATTATTTTTGAGTAACAACTATTAATTTCTCCACTAAGTGTCATCAAATATTATACTAGACACTGAGGATAAAGCAGTCAAAATCAAACAGAAAACATTCCCAGAGGTTACATCTCAGCATGAAACAAACAACTGTAATCAATAAACAAGTATATTCTACATCTTTGAGGTTAAGAGCTTTGAACATAAATTTCATAGAGGGAATAAAAGTGTGATGATGTAGGCTGCTTTCTACAAAGGACCATTAAGGGAGGTTTTTTCTTTTTTTTCTTTTTTCTTTTCCCCGAGACAGGGTTTCTCTGTGTAGCTTTGGAGCCTATCCTGGC